TTTCACAACAGGCTTTACTGCTAGTAATTTTATAAATCCATGTCATGTGTTGTCGTCCCCTTATCTCCAGGCTACAGAGATCAGTTCTTCTGCAGAAAATTGATGTTTTGGAGGGTGGACTCTGTGGCATCATACCCCATTGAGGTCCCTGTCCTCCCCAGGCTCCATCCCCAAATCTCCAGGAGTCTCCCAGGCTGGATCTAGCCCCCCTGCCCCCATCCCCAGTCGGTGGCCAAGGGTGACCTGGCAACCCTATTGTGTCATCTCCTGGAACTGTCTTGCAAGGTCACGGTTGCCATATTTACTGTTCCCTGTGCAAATAGTTATTCCTGAGTCCATGGAGTGGCCGAAACTTTGAGAGCAGCCAAAAACCCTGCCGGTCAAAACATTTATGAAGAAACGAAACCTAAGGGCCTTTACTGTTTGACCAGATTCACTGTAGCAAAGGAAAGGGGAAGGGAAGGGATGCCACCCAGCCTGGCATTCAAGACATTAAGTTTTTATTGGGATATTTAGCTAATAGAGCAGAGCTTGCCCAGTCATAGAAATGTGATACTGAGCGCAGTAAATAAATTTCCCAGGAAGAATATTAGAGCAGAGCTTGCCCAGTCATAGAAATGTGATACTGAGCGCAGTAAATACATTTCCTGAGAAGAATATTGCAAAAGGTTAAAAACGTACATTTATTCGAGTAGATCCAGTTCACTCGAGTAGATCCAGTTCACATTCAGGTTGCCGTCAAAAGGAGAGAAAGACGACTAATCTAAAGAGTACTTTGCCTATCACAAATGGCCAGCTTGTCCAGCATCAAGTGTGTGGGAGTCTGAGGGCATTGTTTCTACAGGAGAGACCTAGGGTGTGATCAGATGGGGTGTTTGGTCCAATGTCGTCCCTTCTCCCTATTGGACTTAGTGTGGGCATCCAGACAGCGACATCAGTCTTCTGTTCCATTCCCCAGTCGTCAACCTCCCCATCCTCACCCCCAACTTCCTTGACACCAGAGAAAGTCTGGTATTTACAGCTCAAATTGTCCCACTATGCATTTTCAGCCATCTAGTCACCCCATAGTGTGCTCAAGATGTTTGGAGGTCTGCGATTTCTGCTCTCAGGCCGCCATTTTTTCCTCAGCAATATGCACATAATCACATATTCACTACTGGCAAATAAGCAGTTCTGTGCACTGCTCCCTCTAAGCTGAGTTAGTGTGAGCTAGCTCACAGTTTTTTAGCCTCCAGCTCATACACTTTTGTCTTAGCTCAGGAAGGACAGCTCCAGAGCAAACTGATTTATGCAGTAACCAAATCAGTTGCTCACAACTTTAATGTCAGGAGCTCACAAAGTAGAATTTTTGCTCATAGGACTCCAAAGCTTAGAGGGAACATTGGTTCTGTGCATGCTCAAAGTTGAGGGTTTTTTTTAAAAAAGAAGAAGGGTGGTATGTCTGGTCACTCCCTCTCTAGAATAAATAAATCCAGAGAGATTAGAGGCATGTCCAGACTGTGCCAAGCCTCCCGTCTGAATGCATCCCTTCAGAGACATATGTCTCCATGGAAGGCCATATGTAGAGTGTGAGAGGACAAAGGGAGAGAGGAAGGATCAGAGGTCAGCTCCCAGGTTAAGACAAAGAGAGGCATTCCATTTAATTTATTTATTTATTTATTTTATTTGTTACACTTTATATCCCGCTCGAACCCCTGGTTGGGGGTCTCTGAGCGGCTTACACTTCGGTGCTAGCCACCAATTTTTATTTGCCCTAACTATGGCCACATATACTGTAAGGGGGAGGGAAACCTACCGGCACCCCCTGTAGTGGTGGTTGGTAGCTGGTTTCTGTCCTTCTAGCTCCGTCAATTCTCTCAGGTGGGGCTCCCTTCTTCAACTTTGAAGAAAGTGGATACAGGGAACTTTTCCTCACACTCTCCTAATACTAGGACATGGGAAGTAGATAGGCAATAGATACAAGACAGGAAACCCTTCTTAACTCACTGAGTGAATTTGTGGTATTCATTGCCGGGAGAGGTAATGATACCCATGAGCATCAATGATTTTAAAAGGGGGTTAAGACAGTTTCATGGAGGAGAAGTTCATCAGTGGCTAAAAGCCATGGTGAGCAAAAGGAACCTCCATATTTAGAGTCTGAAGCCTCTGAAATCCAGAACCAGGAGGAAACATCAGGGCAGGACCTTGACTATTATGTTCAGTTTGCTGGCTCCTCAGAGCAACTGGTTAGCCACCTGCTGTGTGAAACAGCCTGTTGGACTATATGGATTGCCTTTCTGGTCCAGCGAGGTTGTTCTTATGTGCATCTCCAGTTGCTGGCATTATAATAAAGAGATTCCAGATTTAAGATTGATTTCAGATGTGAACAGAGCACTATAACTAGTCTGATTTTCATTCCTGGTCTTATCTTGGGACGCATCTCAGCAGGCAGGCCAATTCCAGAGGGTAGCAAAGTGGAGCAGAGCTTGCTCACAGCTAGGATGACAAGTGTTTTTGTATAGTTTCTGTGCATTCTTACCACTGGGCAAATCCCTTTCTCATCTCCTTTTGTGACTGGTGTCGATCTGGATCCATACCCATCCCAGAAGTTAACCAGTAAGAAGACCCAGACCCAAGAGTTTAACCCATTATAGCAGTTTAATAAAGCACAATATGGATAAGATATAAAATATCTGCTCATGCCAGCCATACAAAGCAAACAGAATAGATAAATGAAATAATGAAGATGATGCCCTAAAAGAAAGACAAAATACCAAATCCTTTCATAAAGTTATTAGATCACACAGAATATGATGCATAAGATGTGTAGAGGCATTATGGATATATTTTATTTATTT